TCTGTTGGAATAAATAACAACAGCTGGTTTCTTGTACAGATACTGTTTGGCATGAATTTTTTATTTAAGTCCCTCCATGTATCTAGTAAACAGTAAGCAGTATTCTAGCATTACTAAAAGCCTCCCAAGTCTCCTTCCAATAAATTTCCTTTACTCCTCTCATTTAAAATTTCAGGGTGTGGGGCAGGGTTAATGTACCAGAGAAGGAATGCTAGGGAAGTATTTCTGAGCTAGAGAAAATAAGGTTCCACTTCTATGTATTCTTTCTTACTTGACCTTCAGCTTCTCTCTTAGATAACACATTTTTTGGACCGATTCTTGGGAAAGCAAGATTTATGCAGACATTCTTTTGCTGTTCTGTATGTACTAAGTAAAGAGACTTATTTATATTCAAATGGAATACCCTGACCCTGAGTACTTAATGGTAAGAAAATTTGCATCTGCATTAGGGGTGGGTCAGTGATGAAATACTCTTTTGGTCCTCTTTAAAGGACTAGCAAGGAAATTCCTTCCTTATATCCTTGTGAATTTCTGTCTTAACAAGCTTATCCAAGACTGAGCACCCTTGTCCTGTCCTGTAGAGAACCCTGGGAGCACTTCAAGCACATAGATGGTATCATTCATTCATTTATTCTGTTATCTTTGTTATTAACAGCAGAAAGGTTTTACTTAACTTGCCAAATTAACCCTGGGTTCTAAAGGAATAGGAACTATCATAGATTCACTGTCCGCTTGCTCTCTTGTTTTGTGAAGATGAAACTGAGTTCCCTGTCCTGGGGCTAGGAATATAAGAGTAAGGTGGGGTCTGTGCACCTCAAGAATCAAATGATAGTCTTCATGGGTTCTAGAAGGTTTTCTGTTCTTTGCAGCCTTTATAAGATTCCTGTGGTCACCAAGGATGATCATGGATGTATCAGCTGCTTTCCTTGGGGCCACATAGGACAGTCGCACTTCCTTTCCCCCTTTGAGGTTCGGCATGACCATGTGACTGGCTTTGGCCCATGAAGCGTGAGCAGAGGCCACTTATGTTGCTTCCTAGATGAAGCATTAAGAGTCGCTGGGGAATTTGCTTCATTCCCTTCCTCCTGCCTTGGCGGGAACACACACTGAGGGTGGGCCCTGGTGGACAGATGTCCTGACCCAGGTTGAAGACATAGTGTGAGCAAGAAGTAGGCTTTGGTGCTTATGACTCATTAGGGTTTGTGGATGGTGGTGCAGGTGACCTGTCTGCTGCACATTAGCCTGTCCTGATGTGCCAGTCAGCGCTATTATCTCTTTACAGTTGGAGGAATCAAGGCCTAGATGTTTGGGCTGCGGAGGGGATATTCATAGTTGTGATGGTGGCAAGAAACCTGGTAGTTACTGTTGCACAAAAGCTGGGTGTAATTTCTTAGAGGTGTGACTTACATTTCAGTTATAGGTATTGCATCTCTTCATTATAGGCTGCATGCATACTTTTCAACAAATATCTGTGCACAGTGGGGAGTAACTCTAAAGAAGGAAAAATCAAAGTGTGTACACACACACACACACACACACACACACATTAACTGTTAACTTACTCTCCCAAGAGTCACATGAGAGATTTTAATGCCAAACTACTGGTTGAGTGCCAGGAAGAATTTCTTGGGTGGACATAATGCTTAATTTATATTTAGGGAATTTCCACTACTAAATCACAGAGCTTGTAAACTTTGAATAGAGGAGGAGGGGGTGGAAAAGGGAAAAAATAGTCCCAGGGATATGGTTGACAATATTCCTTTTAATTTAAAGCCACCTGAAGGCTTCAGTTGAATAATAAAGTAATCCCCATATGGTTTCCGTTCTTTTAATGTTAGAACCTCAGCAATGCAGTCTACTTTTAGCCTTGGCTTCTGCTTGCCTCTTTGTCAGGCTGAGAATGCTTCCCGTCCGCTCGCCGGTAGGAATGTAAGCAGGACTCTACTCTCCTGGGGATAGTTCCCAGGCTGTGCTTTCGATGTGGGCAAGTTGGCTCATTTGCAGGGAGGATCTGCTCTTCCAGGGCACTCCTGACTCTTGGAGAGACGGGGCGGGCCGGGGCCTCCTCAAGAAGGTGACTTCATGCTTCATTGGTGAGGAGCCTCCTTAACAGACAGTGCTCTCAACCCCCTTTTGTTCTTCCCTCCCTTACAATTCTGTTTACAATAAACTTTTCCCAAAGTAAAAAAAAGACATTATTCATTTGAGTTTTGTTTTTTCCCTTGAAAGATTTTAACCCTCAGAATCTTTAGAAAGGCAAATACTTTCAGTAAATCCTGAAACTTGAATATAGTTATTTTCAATTATGTGTATGTACTTTCATTACTAAGTTTTTAATCTTTTTCTTATCCTGTGTAAGTTTACTTTCCTTCTGTGTTCATATGAGTTCACGAAATACTCGGGAAGTTTATGAGAAAACATTTTGAGAGCCAGTTTCACGGTGTGATGCTGGAGATCCATTATGACCATGCACTGGGCGCTGTGTGTAACTGTTCAGGACTGAATTTGTCAGCTCCTCCAGTAATCATTAAAATGCCATAAGATAACTTTGTTGTGGCTCAGAGGAAGTCAGAAGATAGGAATTTTGGTGCTGCTTCATTGTGATAACGTCATTGTTCAACTTCTTTACCTATTTGTCTACTTAAAAAATTAGATTAGTGGTGCTCACTTTTCCACTCTTCACAGAGTTGCAAAATGATTTCTTCACACAGGCACAATCAGGATAATATGTATAAAGTGGCCTGACTCTTTAGAAGAAAAATCCTTCAAAGTACAGGTAGATGGAAGTAGAGGATGACTATTTTGTATTGAAGAACAAGAGAGTTTGTAAAGAAATGGGGTTATAAGCCCTTTCAGTTGACCAGATAGTACTGTTTGTTCCCTTTCTGCCAGAGCCAGCATTTTGAGGACCCTCTGGCAGCAGCGTTGCATCAGTTTCCTCCTAATTTGAAATGAGTAAGTACATGGAGTACAGAGGCACTCTAAAGATGCACGCATGCCAAAACGGCCTTCGAGATCCTCAGAAATCACTGTGGGATACACTATTAGGTGAAAATGATCTTGTCTGGCCTGGAAATTAAATGCCATAGTTTGCCTTCTGCACAATGTGTCCCCAAATGGTATTTCATGTATTCCTAGTAATGCCTTCTATCAACGAGACTAATACATCTCCTGTGATTTTTTTTTTCTTTTTGCTTGATTTTTAATTGTCAATTACTAATATAGTGACTTTGAATCAAATGTAAAACAGAATTTCAAACAGAATCCAAACACCAATTCCAATGGACATGAATGTCTCTGTGTCCTATAATTTTCTTCAATACAAAATTTTAACGTGTGTATCACTTAAAAAAACTGTACTTCTGATTTCTTTGATAACTTGACAATAGTATATATAAAAATCTACCTCGGGAGATGGGGATACTAACCCTTTATCTTTTTCTTTAGTGCTCTATACCCTTCTACTCTTCAGCACGCATAAAATGTACATTTGTTTTCACATTGCTAAGGTTGTTAACCATTCTATTCTTTAACTATTTTGAAGTCTCCTATGTTAAGTAGTTTGGCTGACACTGATACTAAAAGTTGAAAACCACTAACCAGTGTTTATGCTATATCTATGCAAATAGCATTCATTACAGGGCCAATTAAGATGCTCTGATTGTATCCTCCTGCAATTTTATAACCCTGTGCCTCTCTATGAAAGGGGTCAAATGCAGACTCCTTACTTAATTTTATCAACTCATTGAAACCATACAACATTCATTTGGCTTCAAAATTGGCTTATAACCTTCTTATACAATTTGTTAACTTTGAAGTGTTTGATCTTTGTTTTTTCTTGATGGCAGAAGAAATACAAACCTTTAAAAAACTGAATTTTCTTTCTAGGTTCAATGTTTTCTTTCATTAACCTTTTGGGATCTCTTTAAGTCTCGGTGTTCTCAGATTTCTTAATGATGTTTGGGTCTTATTAATTCTGAGAAGTACTTAGAGTAATCTGGAAACTACATCTCTTGTGACCCTGGGAGAGTCTCTTTTATTATTTTGATGTTTTTCTTAGGTTTTCTCTGCTCTTTCTTAATGAAACTCCTGTCAGTCAGATGTTGGGTCCCCTGACTTGACCCTCCACGTCTCTTATCTTTCCTTCACATTTTTTACCTGTCTATCTTTGTTCTTACATTGTGGAAGATTTTGAGTCTATCTTCTAACCCTTTCCTTAGTACTTCTTAGCAATCAAAATTTTAATTTTTAAGAGCTCATTCCTTTATTTGGGGACGCGTATTTTGAAATCCACTAAAACAGTGGTATAAAGAACTAGCATTCTGCCAGAAATTCATGAAGATCTACATTCTGAAATAAAATTTTCCTATGGCTATTTGAAGAGACATATAACATTGCCATCCAGTTTCATAATCTAAACACTTACAGAAACAGTATCTGTGGCTCCTTGGCCATCTTTTTGACTTTTACCTTACTAATAGTGACTACTGAACAGCAGCGAGAGAGAGGTGTTTATAGCCCAGTTGAAAGAAAAGACAAAAGCAGAAGCATTTTAAGTATAAAGAAAAAACATAGGGTTTTAAACCAGAGTTCTAGTTGTGTTTTAAACTAAAATGAACCATTTTATACACATAGGTTTGTGTGTTTTTTTCCTATGTTCTGGATTTTTTATTTATTGAGAGATACAGAAAGTCAAATTGTTGGATGAAGACTATTGCTTTTGATACATATGTTCATATTCCATTTATAGAACCATCCATCATCTATCACAAGATTAAATTTACCAGAATCTAACCGCCAGTGGATGTTGTACGTTTTAAAAAATGATGAGTAGTATATTATGTGTGACAAGTGGCATTTTATTATTTTAGCTTGAATTATTTTATTAGCATTATGCTACGTTTTATCATTCACTGGCATTTATGTGTAAATCACAGTATACCTATGTGTAAAGGATTTTCCTCCTCTCCCTTCCTCCTCTCCCTTTCCCACTTCTTCAGCCTTCCTTTCCAGCCTTCTGGTGTCGCTGGAAGAACATACCCAGTCCAGCACGTGTCTGAATACTTCCTACACATCTTCTACTCAGGATTACGTGACACGGTCATCTCCTGAAGAAGGTGGTTGGTTGTATATTTTATATACTATTGGTCAGAGACAACAGTTTATTAATAACATTAAGGCCACCTGTTCTTAGCTGGCAGGAAATGTAATTGTGGCTGTTGTTGAGTCAGGACTTGAACTGGAGAACGGAGGGCAGTTGTTCGTACTTGTGAACTTTTTTTCTCGCCACCAATTTCCATGTTTAAAGGCTCTCTTGATGTGAGTAGGAGACCCGTGTTTGAGGGCCTGGATTCTCAACCTGGCGGCAGAGTGGGACTTAACTGAATCAGCTCATCACAGTGTCACTTCTGTTTTGAAAGCTCTGTACAAAAATATCCAAAGTCTCTGACAGTTTCATTCACTCAGAACAATCATTGGCCCTACTTACTATAAGTTTCCATCCCTAAAATTGCTCTTTAGTTTTGAAATTTGGCTGTCAGTATATTTTGGCTTAAGAAAACTCACGAAGAAATATTGTGCCATTTAGAATTAGGCATTATGTTTGTCAGTTTCCCACCAATGAAACATTTTATTTCTTGGTGAACTGCTTCTGAAAATTACTTGATAGTTTACAATAAAGCTATTTGAGTAGGGTTTTTAGGATGAGAAACTAGGCTGTAGCTAGAGTAGTAGGGTAGCTACTCTATTGTTGAGTATTGGTAATTTCATATTATGCTGTAATACTTATATTTTTATCATACCTAGTTTCACATTTAAGAGATTAAAACGGCTCTTTCTATTTAACCCAATAGAATTATCTTAAGCTTGTAGGTAATTAACATTTAAACCCTTTGCTGATGGCCGAAGCCCAAGGTGAAGGTATAGTCTTGCATATAATGCTGCTGGTTCTTAGAGCACCCTCTGGCAGAAGGCCTGTGATGCAGACAATAAGAATCATGGAGAAAAATTTAATTCAGTTTGACTTTTTAAATAAAGAAAAATAGAAGTATTTGCTCAGGTACAAGATAAATGTGGGAAAATCTATATATCTTTGGATTTCTTTGATTAAAGCAATTGATACAATATGAGACCTCAAAACTTTGTGTAAACATGTTCCTGTACTACATATCACTTTATGTCACAGCTTTTGTTGGATGATACTGATATATTGCACGATTGCTTTTTCCCCCGATTGATGGTAATAAGAATGATTTATCGCTCCTCTCTTCAAGTGGGTTCGAATGATGATAAGCAGCTAAACTATTCAACAGGCAAGTGGACCTCTCTGTCTTTCAGAAGCAAATGTCTAAATATTAGCAATAGGAAGTGAAGAACTGGAAGGCAAATTGTATAAGGATTGTTCTGGGAGCATTCCTTACCGTCAGAACCGGATGAAGAGCTTGTTTTCATGCCTGGCTCTCTATCTGCGATGTCAGCAGCACTGGTATCTGGATCTTGATCGGGTTACTACTGCTGATGTCTACATTTTCATTTATCTTGGCTTCCATTTAATTAAAAAAAAGACAAATGGCTAAGGTGAGGCTAGGAGTGCAGCTGAACTAAGAGTGGATGTCTCTTTAGTAGTGAGTGAGTCTATTGCATCACCTATGATGTTTGTGATGGGACAAAGTCTTTTGATTTTACCAAGCCAGATTGCCCAATTCTTACTTTTCCTAATTTTTACCTTTTTTTTTGGTAATTTTTTTAAATTATAAAATTGATGGAAACTCTGTGATTCCATTTTTAGAAGTTGGTTACTTGCAAGGAGTCTTAAGTACAAAGATGCTTCTAATGCCCTGGAGGAAAAGGGAACGTAACACCTCTCTGGGCTTCTCCAAAAGAGAAGACTTTAACCAGCTCTTTTAAATTATATTTTAGAGTTCTGTAAAATTCCTTTTAGAAAAAAGTATTTGTTGAACCAGGTTGGAAAACCATTGAGTTAGGCCATCATAAATACTGAATCATCTTCCTTCCTCCATTTCTCAGAGTGGACAGTTGTTTGGCTCCTGTTTATCCAAATTTCTGAAAAGCATTTCAACATTAATCATAGCTGGAGTTGGCTACTTCCCTCAGACCATTCATGCTGCCCTTATTATAAGTGCTTTTGCTACTGGGTAGGTGAATGGTTAGGTTGATGGACAGATGCATAAGGACAGGAAGGAAGGAAGCAAAGAAAAAAAAGATACATATAGTTATTCCCATTTGTCTATTACTTTATGCCAATGTGGGGGTTTTTCTTAAAGAATAGTTTATTGATTTTTAGAGAGTGTGAGGAAGGGAGAGGGAGCAAGAAATATCGATATGAGAGCACAACATTGATCGGCTGGCTTCTGCACAACCTGGCCATGTGCCCTTGACCCGGAGTCGAACTGGCAACCTCCTGGTGCACAGGACAATGCCCAACCAACTGAGCCACACCGGCCAGGGCTCAGTGCATTCATTTTTAATGATTTTATTATATTTCTTATCACTTATGGCAGGAATTACATCTTGCCTACATTTCATTATCTTACATACACACAGAATAATAATGGACTCCCCAGTCACTTTTTAACATATAAATGAGCCTTTCTAGATGCTAAGGATACAGCAGTAAAAAAGCACAAAAATTCCTGATCTTTTGGAGCTTCTTTCTAGCTGGAGGAAAAAAGCAATATTTAAGTGAGATGTATGGTAGGCCAGTTAATGATAATGCTGTACAAAAATATAAAGCAGGAAATGAAAGGAAGTTACTATTTTATATCCAGTGGTCAATGACATATGCACAAAACCTGATTCTTCAATATCACCACCTCTGGCCAGTCACTATTCTAAAATGCTTCATTTAGAACTCATTCTTACAACAACTAGGACAGGTAGGTGTCACTCTTTTCCCCATTGTACAGTAGAGGAAACTGATTCCAAAAAGGTTTCATCACTTGCCCAAGCTCACACAGGAGTAACTAGTGATGCTGGGATTTGAGCCCACACAGCCTGACTCTGCAGTTCTTGCTCTTAATCAGCACACTAAGTAAATGGATGCCTGAATGCATGATGAATGGATGCCTGAAACATTTTACAAACCAACTCATTCACACGCATTCAGTGTGAAATATAATGCAGTCCCCCAGTGAAGCCTGGTAAAAATGACATCATCGGGGCATTATTAGCTTAAAATTTAGTAGTTGTTAAACATAGATTTTTAAAATATCAGGCTTACCTAAAATAGAGGTCATCTATAGGAAAAAAGAAGGCTTTGAGCTGCTCAAAAAGTATGTAGTAAATAAATTATAAAGGAATAGAAAATTATATGGCAGGGAGTTGCTCTAGTGTATAGTTCATAGTTAAGAGTTGAATCTTGAGTCTTGCTGTTAACTTTTTAAGCCATTCTGACACTTCTCATGGACACACGCATCTGATAGAGGAGAAATTCAGGCAGAGGAAAACTTGCAGAAATAATCCTAGATGCTCTTCCTTCGTTCCCTTGCTCTTTCTGAACCAGCTCCTAATGTACATCCCTGCAGTCTCAGCGTTGATCCTGCCTTCACTCACTGGGCTCATTTCTTTGCAGTTAGTCTTTGCAGTGTTTGAAATTCAGTTTTCCCTAAATAACTCCTGACTTCGGTCAGCCCGCAGACCCTCACAGTCACTTGCTGTCTGGGCAGGAGCTTTTAGTGTGAGTCCTGGACCCATAAAACCCAGCCCCCCCTCTGCCTTCTTGGACTATATTTTGAAACCAAATGTACTAGTGTAATGTCTTATTCAGAATTCCATTTTCTTAGAGATCTCTCTGGAGGTTTATATGGGCTAATGGCTCCCCACCCACTTGACATTTTGCCCATTACATTATATGTTTCTTCCAAGGAACAAAAATATAACTCTCCATTTCTGACAGCATGGGAGACGCTCTCTTGCTGTTGCTCTCCAGGAAAAATCTCATAATCTAACTAGACAAACCGTTGCTGAAAAATTAGACCAAACGGCATTTGTAAACTCCAAGGAAAGCATTTTTCTTCTGTGAAGCATTTCCTAGCTGGAAGTGTTGAAACTTTACGTATACTGATACCAGTTAGGTTTATGGAAAAAAATGAAAAGTTATAAACAGCTGGATACACTGTCAAAACTGAACCCTGTCAACCTAATTTTTTCCTAGCCCTGTGTGCTGAGAAATTTGCAGCATTCTTAATTCCCATGTATGAGATGAATGAGAGGAATGAATGGATAAAGTTCAGTTGTTAAAAGAAAGTCCGGTAGCTAGGTAGCTGCTTGTGCTTATTTGGTACATTTAAATGAAGGAAATAATATTAGAAAAGGTATGTTGGGATCATATCTCTGTACCCTCTTTCTGACATTGTTTTTATACATAACAAAATCAGTTCGCAATCAGTCTCTCTGTATGCCGGGTACCACTGATGTTTGCTTGTTTGCTTTGGTTTTCTGTTTGTGTGTTGTTTTGTTTTGTTTTGTTTTGACTCATGCTCTAAATCCATTAAGAAATGAAATATTCCATCTTAAGAAACAAATATGATTTACCTCTTTCGTGTTACTAGGGAGATATAAATGACCTAAAGATCTGTGATATTTGTTTTCAGTATCAGATCAAATAGAAATGTTAGATTTTAGGGGGCAGTTTATGTTGCACAAATATTATTTTTAATAAATTTCATTTATTTCCCAGTTAGCACTGCACTGTCTAATACATTATGAATAATCTTCATGCCCTTTATATGATAGAAAACTAGTGAAGGATTAGTAGAGCCAGTGACTTATTTAGCATACTTGTTAAATAAGGTAAACACCATTGTATAATAAAATGTTTGAAACTAGAACAGGATGGAGTGAATATTTTCTAATCCATGGGTAGTATTAATTGTAATTAACTTTACTGTCTAATGTGCCTTCTTTTAAAATTAGATTAGTGGAATGTCTGAAATTGGACTTTAATACATCTTGGAGAAATGACCTTGCCTTGAAAGAATCACCATTACCAGCAGGATCACTTGCTTGTTTTACGAGTGCTCTGTATTAATTAAGTGATACTTCTCTGTACAGCTTACAACCTACCATGACTTTCTGTGGTGTTGTGAAAACTTTAGAATGAAACATACCTGGATGTTTATATCTGACGTATTAACTTCATTTGCTTAGGTGAGTTACTTAATCTCTGCTAATCCTCAATTTTGATATGCATAAAATGAGGTATGTCACTTGAAGTATTATTACAAATAGGAGAAATAATGCAAATAAAGTATCTTACATAGTGCCTGAGACATAGTGATTATTAAAAGTAAGTTGTGGCCCAGATGGTTTTACTGGTGAATTCTATCAAAGATTAAGAAAGCAGTAATACCAATCTTACTCAAAATCTGTCAGAAAATTGAGGTGAGAAAGCATTTTATGTAGTTATCATAATCCTGATGCCATTCAAATACACACAAAAAAGAATTTTTAAAAGTAGAGACCTTAACAAAATACTATGAAATAGAATACAGCAATACATGAGAATGCTAATGTATCTCACATAGCTGAGTCTATCCCTGGAATGCAAAGTTAAGCATTTGAAAATTAATCTACGTAATTCGTCAGAACCACAGAATAGAGGAGGAAAGTTATATGATGACTTAAATAAATGCAGAAAAATCATTTCACAAAATGGGACATTCATTTATAATAAACATTTGAAGCAAGGTAGGAATGCTAGGGAACTTTAATCTGATAAACTCGCTCTATGAAAAATTTACAGCTAACATCATAATGGTGAAATGCTGAATGTTTTCACCTTAAGGTTGATAACAAGGCAAGGGTGTGATCTCTTTTCATGATTATTGATGTGGAGGTCCCAGGGAAACACTGACACCCTCCC